ACAATAATGTGTATCACCTGGTTTAACATCTTTATCTTGATTGAAGAACCATCTCTCTCTCTCTGTGTATTACCAGGTTTAACATCTTTATCTTGATTGAAGAACCATCTCTCTCTCTCTCTCTCTGTATTACCAGGTTTAACATCTTTTTTTTGATTGAAGAACCATCTCTCTCTCTCTCTGTATTACCTGGTTTAACATCTTTATTGTGATTGAAGAGGCATCTCTCTCTGTGTATTACCTGGTTTAACATCTTTATCGTGATTGAAGAGGCATCTCTTTCTCTCTCTCTGATACAACATATTTATCTTGTTTGAAGAGCCATTACTCTCTTTCTACAGATTTGCAGAGAAGCACTGAAAGATGGATTCACACGGTAAGGAATCATGCTTTCAGAATACTGTCAAAAATTATTTCTAATATTTTAATATTACTTCAAGAATCACAGATGTTTTTGTTGTGTTAGCTGTTATGTAACTCGGGGAGTCATTAATTTTGTTTGTGTTACTTATGTAACTTAGAGAATGGTGGATGCTTTTGTTAGATGTTATGTAAATTGGAATATTTATTCTTGTTGTGTAAGCCATGTAACTTGGAGAATCTTGGTTTTTGTTGTTGTTGTATTAGCTGTTATTTCACCCTTAAGTATTCAGGTACTTAATAGAATGATCCAACCATTATTAGTTGGTTGGATCAATATGGGACCCTACATGAGTACTTAAGAGTTAATTTAGAGAATCACAGATGTTTTCTTCCAATTTTTCTTTTAACTATTGAGAATCATAGTTTTTGTTTTTGCAATTACTTACAAATTACTTTTGTAAACATTATTTTAGTGCATATTGTTATAAGACATATCAGAAAAACATGGTATACAACAATCAGTTTCTGTTATTTTACATTTGTAATTTTTAATCAAATATAAATTATATTTTATCTTTTCTAGCTTCAAAGTAAAGATTGGAGAGGAGTTAGAAGATGATAAACGTAGACTTGAAATAATTCGAGAAGAGATTGGATGGGAAAATCTTCTTGTACGTAATAATTTTATAAATATTACTTCTGCTGGTTCTTTAAAAGTCTGTGATGCTGACTTCTCAACTGTTGTTACTTGTTGTGAAGTATTTCCTCATTCAAGTACAATTTTCAATTAAAACATGTATTATAATAATTTTCAGTTTTTATCTGATCTCTAAATGCATGTGTACTTCATTTTAAATGTGGATGTAAATATACTTTAGTAGACATTTTGTACAACAGGATATTAAAAGCTCACCAAAGTTTTTAAAAAGGTCTAACGTTAGGTCATAGAATAACAAGTTTTTTATTGATAGTACTGAGTAAAGTATACTTTAGCCCTAACTAAACTAAAGTAAAAAAACATACACAAGTTACAGTGTTAATTTATCTCGTATTAAAGATAGACCATACTTAATAAAGTCTTAACTAATGTTAGGCTTAAGACAAGTTGACTCGTACATTTTGGTGTTTGTGATTAGAATTCTTTTGTATTATTCTAGAAATCCTGTATTTAACGTACTGCTACAATATAAGTACAAATTTGACTGCAAATGTTTTTTGGGTCTCTGCTAGTTCTAAGTACAATTCATCTTTGGTCTTTAGAAGTAATGTTCATCTTATTTTTAAAATGACATTCCATCAGGTAGATAAACATAATTTATTTTGTTTTCTATCTAACAGTGTCTTGGTTTAAATCTAGGTTTTGGATGCAAGTGCGGGATGGGACCAAAATGAAGCTATTCACTGGATGAAGGAACTTGCAGGCTTCCGCCCTTTATGGGTTCTGGAGCCAACCAGTTCTGATGACATATTAGCTCACATGGCAATTGCAGAGGTGAGAATTGGATGTTCCATTTTGTTTTGAAATTCTCTCAAAGACATTTTAATTCATAGACATTTAGTAGCCATGTAAAGTTTTAGATTTTTTTTATAATTCCTTCTGTGTTTGAAGGTTCTGAAATATGTTTATCTTTAACTGTTTTTTTTTCTTTTTTAATGGTCTTGAACTGCTTTAGCTGTAAGAAGAATTCAGCGTGTTTTCTGTTCTAACTTTTACTTGTTAAGAATTTGTGTTTTATTTTATGAAGAATTTAGAATGTTTTTAATTGCAACATTTGTGTTTTGAATCAACTTCCATCAATTATGTTCCAATTGTTATAAGTAATTTATTTAAAAACCTCTGTAATGAAATACTGAATATAATTTTCAAACAACTGTTTAGGTTCCTCATTTTCAACTAGCTTGATCTTGTGTTTGTGATAGTAAAAAAATGTTTGTTTGATATTTTATTACTTTTATCTAATGTGGTTAACCTTGTGTTAACTGAAGTTTCTATTTCACCTGAATTGTGTGAAATATATCATGTAAAAATTAGTATTATAATGGAGATTTCTTCACTGTCTGCAATAGGAGCTTCGGCCTCTACACGTGGGTGTTGCAGTGAATTGCCATAACAAGATCATGTTCAAACAGTATATCCAGAAGAAGACAGTTAGTTGTTGTTTTCTTGATCCATTCAGGATTGGTGGAGTTAATGAAGTATTAGCCATTTGCCTTATGGCTGCCAAATTTAAAGGTAGTTGTTTGGTGTAAAAGCTGTATATATACTAATGAATTAATAATGAATGTAATACATTCATAAATATGTTGAAAGGAAAAGTTGATATTTACAATTCCAGCATTTGTTCCAACAGTTTGTCAGTGCATCATTCAATCAACACTTTTCTTCGTAGGTTTAGGTAATTAGTCAATTTATATGTAATCTTTACACAATAATGCCCTTACCATAAATATTTTCTAAATTTATTTACTCATCAAATTATAATTCTTAGTTCTCAGAAGTTTAGTATTGTTGCCACCAGGTAATTTGCTTGTTAAATCTCGTACATTGTTTAAACTGGTATTTCTTTGAATACTAGAATAATGTAGCCCTCAGGGCAAAACTAGTGGTTGTCGTTTAATTGATTACACTAAAGGGTTTGAAGGTAACAAATCTGTTAATGCAAGCAGTGATAAAAAGAGGCAATGTACTGTGATGTTGAATATGAATTTATTTTTAATAGTAAAACTCTGATTATAGTGCCAGTTTGTATTGAAGCCAGAGTTCCAGGAGCTGCCGAATTAGCTCAACATCTTTTGTTTTGGGAGTATATTTCTGTCAGTGGATCTCTAAGTAAAAGGTAATTTTCTTTATTACATCAGTGTCAGTGGACACCATTAAGTGTTATGTAGACATCTAAGTAAGAGCCAGTTTCCTTTTTATATTAGTGTTGGTGAATACAAAGAGATTTTCTTTGTGTCATATTGGTGTCAGTGAATCTCATTCTACAAAGTGATTTTCTTTGTGTCATATTGGTGTCGGTGGATCTCATTCCACAAAGTGATTTTCTTTGGGTCATATTGGTGTCAATGGATCTCATTCCATTCATAAGTTGGTTTTTGTGTCATATTAGTGTCAATGGATCTTATTCCATCCATATGTTGGTTTTTGTGTCATATTGGTGTCAATGGATCTTATTCCATCCATAGGTTGGTTTTTGTGTCATATTGGTGTCAATGGATCTTATTCCATCCATAGGTTGGTTTTTGTGTCATATTGGTGTCAATGGATCTCATTCCATCCATAGGTTGGTTTTTGTGTCATATTAGTGTCAATGGATCTCATTCCATCCATAGGTTGGTTTTGTGTCAATGGATCTTATTCCATCCATATGTTGGTTTTGTGTCATATTAGTGTCAATGGATCTCATTCCATCCATAGGTTGGTTTTGTGTCAATGGATCTTATTCCATCCATATGTTGGTTTTGTGTCATATTAGTGTCAATGGATCTCATTCCATCCATAGGTTGGTTTTTGTGTCATATTGGTGTCAATGGATCTCATTCCATCCATAGGTTGGTTTTGTGTCAGTGAGTTTCATTCCATCCATAGGTTGGTTTTTGTGTCATATTTGTGTCAATGGATCTCATTCCATCCATAGGTTGGTTTTGTGTCAATGGATCTTATTCCATCCATATGTTGGTTTTGTGTCATATTAGTATCAGTGAATTTCATTCCATCCACAAAGTGGTGTTCTTTGTGACACATCGATGTCAACGGATCTCATATTTTACTGGTTTGTAAACATAATGGAATATCAGTTTTATACAATTAAAACAGAAAACAAATGAAATTACTGAAACTTTGTTACATGAAAAAAACAAAATATATTTAGTAAAAAGTATACTGTATTTTAAGTTTAGTTGCAAATTAAAAATCATTCTGTTATGATCATCCTGATGATATTTCTTTTTTGTTTTACAAGAATTTATATGAAGGAAGAAAAGTCTTTTTCCAAAATTCACTTTTAGATCATTTTCAGGATGTGTGCTGCCGTTACCCATCGACACATTCACCAACACTTTCAACAACCAGCCATGACAAAATGGGCGTCCTATTTTTTACCTCAGGTAGTAAATATGCTATGACCAGCTATTATAGTGTAATAAGTGTACAAAAAGGCATATCATAGTTATAAGCTATTTCAGATTAAATCTTAAAACGGACAGGAGTCAAACAGCAAATCTAAGCCACTAAAACCCAACTGATTAGAAACAGTAGTCAACGGGTGAACTTAAATCACTAAAACCCAACTGATAAAAGACAGTAGACAACTATTGGATCTATTAACTTTATAAGTTAATAACAGTCAGTAAGTGAAATATTCCACTGAAATCCAGTTGATAAGAGATGGGATAAAATGATGAAATAGTTGTTGCAAACAACTAAATAATTGCAACGACTGGGTGATGTTTGAAGGTTTATGAAATCCAATTTATAGTATAAAGTAGTTAAATATAACTTGCATTTACCTATCCAACATTTATAGAATGAAAGGATCAAATTTATTTTATTGTCAGCTAAAATTCAAAATCTTTTAGAATAGAGTAATCAATTAACAGTTATAGTTGGCTGAAATCCATCACTTATAGAATAAAATGATGAAATGGAATTTATAATGAGTTCAATTCCAAACCCTTTTATAAAAGAGTAGTCAGTTAGTATTTATAGTCGGCTTGAGTCCAACCTTTTTAGTGAAGAGTGTAATAGTTTAGGTAATTTATAGAATTTTAATAATTATATATAATATTCTTAATAGTGATCTGGATATTTCAGAATCCAGGTTGCAATACAGAGATGAAAAGTGAATCTCTGCTGGAGTATGAATTTCCAATTGGCCAGAAGTGGCAACATTTGGTGAGGTCTCCAAAATACTGGAAATCATCAAGGATACCAGACTGGATTGAAAACAGATGTTTTCCTGTTACTTTTTAATTTAACAGTAGACTACCATTCATCAGACTGGGTTAAAAACAGGTGTTTATCCTGTTACTTCTTGATTTAACAGTAGACTACTACCATTCATTAGACTTGAGTTAAAAACAGAAGTTTTCCTGTTACTTCTTGATTCAACACCAGGTTTTCTCCTGTAACCAGACTAGATTAGAAGCTTTTTCTTAAAGGATGTGTTTGTAAGACATTGAGTTGTATTATGTGTTAAAATTTATATGTAAAAAAAAAGTAATTTAGTAGCAAATTAGTTTTTAGTGATTTCACATTTTTTCTACAATTACAAAATACAAATTGTTTTTTAAACAGTATGTTTCAATCCAGAAAGATTTCTATTGTAATGAAAACCTGTTGGAAATAAAATCTATTTTTTTACAATTAGCTGTTTGTTTGTTTTATTGCTGATCAAATATTTTGTCGTATGTTTTCAAAACCCTTGCATTACATTGCAAATATCTTTTAAGACAATGAACACAAAGTGTGTTTCAGCTACTTAGTAATTTGAAGACATACTCTTCTTCAAATGATGGATATGTTTACTTTATTCTTAATATTCATGTAGTAAATTGAGCTATTTTTGTAATTTACTAGTAAAGTAGTGACTATATATATACATGAATTTCTGTACTTATGTCATGATACAAGACTGTTTAATTTAGATATTATTGATTAATATATTTTTGTGAGTGAATATTTTATTATTGTTTAGTTTTGTTATAATAAGAGTTAAAAAAAGATGATTGTTGGAAGTTTTGTTAATAATTCATTGATGTTGAGACTATCGAACGTCGCGTGCAATACATTGACGTCGAGAATATAGAAGGCGGGCAGATTATTAACTGACAGACGTATAAATAGTGTGAGACGAGTGGAAATAGCA